GCACCCCAACGCTTTGTCCCCTGCTAAGGATGTTAAAATGTGGTTAATTGACTATTCAACAGAATTTCCGTCGACTAGTCAATAGGCACTTTCATATTCCTCCTTTGAAATGTACAAGAGCCCATATAGCCTGGGGGAAGTGGGAAGTCCTGCTGCATGAGGGTGCCTGCTTTGAAATGCACAAGAGTCCCCAGCGGAGGCTTTTATGTATTTCAAAGCCATGGAGCCCAGGGTCAGTGGGGGACTTTGAGTCCCCTGCTGACCCCGGGCTCCGTGCTATGCTGCATGCCGCTAGGAGCCTGGGGTCAGTTGAGGACTCCCCAGCTAACCCCAGGCTCTGCGCGGCACTTCCCCGGAACCTGCCCCAGGTTCTGGGGAAGTGCCATATGGAGCCAGGGATCAGCTGGAGAGTCCCCATCTGACCCCGGGCTCCACTGCCCCTTTGAAACACCACCTTGGGGTTTCAAAGTGGCAGCGCCGCACAGCTGTTCAGCACTGCCACTTTGAAGTACCCCTACCCCCACTTTCCTGCCTCTATCTGATAAGCAAATGCTTATTGGATAGTTGACTAGCCTTTTACTCCTTACCCCATATAACCCAAACCCTCTGCCTCCTATCCCTTCCTAGATTCTGCACCCCAATCTCCTTGCTCCAGGTCACAGTTCCTATCCTAGGTCACAATTCAAGCCCTCTGGCCCCCCACCTGCACCCCTAGTCCATATAACCCAAACCCTCTGTCCCCTCCTGCCCCTATATCCCTTTCCAGATCCTGCACCCCAGTCCCTGACCCCAAGTCACAACTCCCTCTTGCCCTAGGTCACAGCCCAAACCCCTTTACCCCCCTCCTGCACCCTAAGCCTCTTCCCCAGGTCACAACCTCCTCTCATCCAAGGTCACAACCCAAACCTTTGCCCCCTAGTCCACCAACATAGGACACAATTGCCTTTTTCTCCCAAACTCCCTCCCAAACTCCACATCCTCTCTCCTGCACCCCAGTCCCTTACTTCAAGCTCCCTTCTGCCGCCAACCTCCATCGCAGACCCCAAACCTCCTCCATTAATATGGAAGAGAGTGGTCCTTGACCACTTTCGAAATTCTTGGCGTGGCCCCCATCAAAATTATTGCACACCCTTGATCTAGCAGTATCATTTGTTTACTCAGGAAGGACAAAAGGTGGATTCTTTCCTGCTCCCGTTAGGATCTTCTTCATCCACACGTCCACATCTTGTATCGCCTGTTGTTCTAATTTATTAAGCAAACTGTTGGGTAATAGCAATTGAAACACTTTACAGAAGTTTAATTATACTATGTCAACAGTACTGCGAGAGAGGATTGTTGTGTCCATTGAGATGCAATAGTTCACCAGAAGTGCTGTCTGCTGCTCGCCTGCAGCCGAATGATGCAGTGAAAAGCATGTCGACTGCTGCAGTGCAGTAGGGTGACTCCACTTCTCTGCCCTGCTCCTAACCTCTGTTCTGTGAGTCTTCTGCCCCTGTGAGTGGTGCTTCTGCCACTGTTGTGAGTTATCCCAAGTCACATCAGTGGCATAAAACTCAGTGGGGTCTTTTGCTTCCTTATTGCTTCCCACCTGTTTGGGGCAGCAGCCATGAAATTGACCCCGCTTGTTAATGTCATTCAGCTGCTGCTCCACAAGGCTCTGAGCAGCAACAGAGGCACTGGAGGTCTGCAGACTCAGGAAGGTGGCACTTAATTGTGTTGCACTCTCTGGAAGGCTGCCTAAGAGCCACAAGGGCTGGAAATGTATTTTTAACAATATGAAAGCTGAGATTCTGCATAAATTGAATCCTCAATGCCCCATGCTCACCTGGGAGGCACTCCCCCGTGTGATGGGATTTTTGAGCCCTGGTGTCAGTGGTCTAGGAGCTCAGCAGACAGAAGACATCAGTTTGTGTTCAAGTCGTGGGTCATAGAGGTCTGTACTGTGTGCGAGTGGAGATTAATGTTAGAACTGCAGCCCTGAGTTTCCCATAGAAGAATTGGAATATTGAAGCCTGGGCGTGGGACTGAGTGGGTGAAGAAATGCGAATCTGCTTTGTTCCTTTGATCTCCCTCTAGCAGCTCCACGCTTGAACTGTCATTTTTATTTACTGCAGAAACACTGATTGTGACAAAGCAGTAAATAGCAGTAAATAGACAGTTCATTATAGCAACTGAAATGGTCCCTTAAAGCAGGAGAGATGAGCTTTTCTGAGACGGGATCATTATAGCAACTGAAATGGTCTCTTAAAGCAGGAGAGATGAGCTTTTCTGAGCTATGACACAGCACATGGATTTCGTCACCCCTCCCTAGCGTCTGATTAATATTTAGCTAACAGACACCAATGTGTGCCCACAAATATCTGCATCATATCCAAGAAATAAGCCATATCTTGCTGTCTCCTCCTCAGAATTCTATGCCTGGATGTAGCTTAGGAAACAGTCATCTCATGGTATGTTATTGCTCTTGATTTCTGCTACTGGTTTTATTTATGGTCAAGCTGTCAGTGGTGAAGTCTGAGCTCATGAGATTCCATTCACAGTGGAGTTAAGTTGAAGTCCTAAATTGTTGCAATGCTTTGTGGTGGGCAAATGGTAATTGTGGCTAGTGAGGAAACTAGGTTCAGAAAAAAAGGTGGGGCTCAAACACGTAAAGCCAATACTCTGGCCTGAACAAAGTCTGTTCTGCAGCACTTCTATCAAAGGAGACAGGAAACCTATTGGAGGCATTGTAGGTGCACTGACTGCTCATGAGCGCCCCCTGGTCAAGTGCATGCTCTCTCTGTAGTGGCTCTTCAGGGGCTCAGCCCTGCAGCCAAGTCCCACGCAGTCTGTTAGAACAAACCAAACCCCTTCGGGGCTCCGAGCCCAACAGGGCCTCTCTCAGTGCCCGCTGCTGCCTGTCAGCTTGTCCCTGCTCTGAATCAGAGCAGTGTCCCAGGGCTCCTTCCCTGGAGACAACGTTCTCACCCTCACGGGCTACGGCGACACTGCACCGGGCTTTGAAAGAAACAGTGTAAATTGCATATCTTATTTTGATAGTCTTATTGCGTATCTTTGAGATATGCAAATAGCGTATCTTATTTCGATCGTATTTCAGAATAGCTTATTTCATACTTTGGCACTGTCTACACAGCGCCAGATTTCGAAATAACCTGCTGTTCTGAAACGTCGCTTATTCCTCGTGGAATGAGGCTTACAGGGATGTTGGAATAGCGAGCCCGAAATAACGGGCTTGCTGTGAAGACGCAGGATGGCTATTTGGGGATACACCAGTATCTCGAAATCATGTTGCAGTGTAGACATAGCCCTAGGGCCTTTCTGCCCACAGCTCTGCTGGGCCACTACAGTTCTATTCCCCTTCTGGGGTGCCTTGCAGTCCAGGTCACTCCTGCTCATGCTTTAGTGACTAATAGGGAGGTGGGGGGAGACCCAGGCCCACCCTCCACTCCAGGTCCCAGCCAGGAGCCCTATAGACAGCAGCTGTCTGCAACAGCTCTTTCAATAACTGTGTTGTTGCCATAATTCCCCACAGCCCTAGCATCTTCTTCATCCGTATCCGAGGGGCCTTGTCCCCGCAGCCAGCCCAGAGCATCATCTCTCCTTCTGCTTCAGCAAGGAATTGAGCTTGTTCTGGCCCTGCTGGCTCCTGATTGGCTGCTTCCCTCACGGCTGCTCTAGGATGCTTTAAGAACCTCTCTACTGCCCTTTTCTGGGGCAGGAGTGGCAGGACCACACGGTCTCCAGCAGGGGCCTCAGGGCCTAGTCCATACCGTCATAGGTATGAAAAGGTTTCTTTACCGGGAGAGACTGACAAGATTGGGACTTAAATTTAGACTCGAGGGGACATGGTAAATGTAAAAGAATGGATGGTCTAGTAAGGGAGATCAGGTGCTTCAGTGTATCCAGTCTCATATTACAGGGAGAAGGAGACACTCAGTGAAATTGGAGGGTGATATGTGTAAAGCTCCCCTCATACTTAAGCTGTGGAGCTCGCTGTCACAAGATAGCAGGAAGCCACATGCTGAGTAGGATCCCCAAAACGATGGAACATTTAACTGGATAATGAGAACACCCACTGGTATGTTAGACAGGATAAATACAAGGGCATAAGCTGTATAAACCCTCCTGCTTCAGGGCACTAGCCGGCCACTCACCATCTGGGTCAGGAAGGAACTAACCCTGCAGTCAAGCTATTGCAGAATTGCCCGCTGTCATGCTACCTGCACAGTCCTCTCAGGCATCTGGTACTGGTCAAAGACAGGCTCCTGGCCGGTGGGACCATTGCTCAGGTCCCGGCGAGCAGCTCCTGGGAGCCTGTGTTCTGTTGCAGTGGGAGGTCTGCCAGCAGCCATCATCAGCTCTCACCTCAGAGCGCTGAACGCTCACGCTGCCCTAGAAAGTGGGGCTGGGGCTCTTCTGTGCACTCCCTCTGGGTTGGTGCTAAAACTCTGCACCAAACTGCTGACGCTGGTTGTGGCAGGGTCGGTTCCTCGATTGACTCTGCCCCGTGACTCTGTGGGAGGTGGGGCTGGCTCTCTCCGGAGGAGGGACGGGGGCGCTGGGCCAGGAATGGCCTGGAAGGAACCCCCGGGGAAGCTGAGCACAGCGAGGGAGCTCAGGCTGAGTTCTGTGCTGTGTTCTGGTTCGAGTCCCCCACAAAGCCCGGGAAGAGCGAGGCAGAGGGGGGAGTTGGGTACTGACTGGGGCAATCCCAGGGGACAGTCCTCCCAGGCCGTGGGACCATGCCTACAGCCAGCCCTTGAGGGAGCCTCCCCTTCTCCCCAGCCCTCCCTCTCCCCTCTGGGAGCACTCCCATAGTACCCTAAGCCCGGGCTGTGATTGCACGAGGTCGCTGGGAGGGGGAAGCAAGGGGCAGAAACTTCCTGTGTCCCATGGGTCCTGCTTTCATCTGCATTCGGGTGGGCAGCTGCAGCATGATTGGCCTTGGAGGAAGAGGGGGACCCTGGCTCCAATCCCCTTCCCATCTGTGTCTCCTGCAGAAACACGCCCGGGGCCAGGTGCTCTTCGACATGGTGTGTGAGCACCTCAACCTCCTGGAGAAGGATTACTTCGGCCTGACGTTCTGCGACTCAGACAGCCAGAAGGTAAGCTTGGGGCCTGGGGCCCTTTGCCAGGCCATTTGCTGCATTACCCCCACCCCGCCCTCAGGGCAGCGGCCGTGACCCCCTCTTTGTGCTATTTCTTGTTGTTTTAGAACTGGCTGGACCCCTCCAAGGAGATCAAAAAGCAGATCCGCAGTAAGTCGTCCAGTGGGCTATCCCACCCCATGTGTTAGGCCTGGGTAGTGCCCCTGTGCTGGCCAGGCAGCAGAAGGAACTCGGCAGCTCCCACTGCTCCCAGTTCTGTCCCCTCCCCATTCTGCTCACC